ATGTTTTGGAAGTATATATTGGGTCCATCTCATGTTTTAGTTGCGGAACCGATAGAATTGAAGGAGAATTTGATCTATGTAGGGGAACCAGTACAGATTTTGGATCGTCGAGAACAAGTGCTACGAAATAAAATTATACCACTGGTAAAGGTATTGTGGAGGAGTCATATGTTGAAAGAAGCAACTTGGGAGAGTGAGGATGCTATGAGGATGCAATATCCTCACTTTTTCGGTATGTTTCATGCACTTTAATTTCAAAGATGAAATTAATTAAGAGGGGAAGAATTGTCAGACCCCCCGATACATAATCATTCTCATTAGCATGATTTAATTTTTATTTTATCATAAATTTCATATAAACATTTTATATGAGCACTTGATATATATAACATGCCTAAAGTGGGTTGTGTGGTGAAGCTCATGTTTGGCGTCAAAGTTTAGTAGATAAATAGCGACAATTAAGTGAAGGGGAATTTTAGAAGTTGATTTGTCCAATAAATTAAATTGATTGATAAATTGATCTATAATTTATCATTTTGATGGAGCAAATATGGAGTTGATTATTGAATTTTATGTGCCATATTTAAGTTACTGGCAGATCACCTATATCTGTGGTTATGTATATATATTAAATATTATTTTTATGTTAAAACTAATGTAAGTATATATATATTAACTAATGTGCTTAAAGGAAAAGGAGTTAGGAAATGAATTGTTAATGATGGCCACATCTATTATGTTATACATAGAAAAGAAAAAAATAAGGATGCACAGGTGAATGTGGGTGTATAAAGATAAGTATTGGTGTGTTGGACATAAATATATATATATATATATATATATATATATATATAATTGTTTTTTTATGCTGGAGATTTTCATATACACATGGAAGTATACTTGTTCCAAGTTTTTCCTTACAAGCTTGGTGGGTTGGTTTATGACTATATGGACATATAATTGTATGATTTAAGTAGATAGATATATGTCTGACTTGCTGCCAGCACAATTGTTCCTCTTCGAGACACGTGAGTATATAGATAAATATATCATTTTAGCCAAAAAAGCTTCTCGAAGAAATTTTGAGAACCGCCTCGAGTAGGTTATTTACTTTTCGCATTGACAAGTAAAATAAAAAAGAGAGAAGAAAAAGAACAGAGGGGATTCGGCCATATATAGAAGAAGAAGAAAAGAGAGGGGAAGAAGGGGAAAATGAAGGAAAAGAGAGAGGAGTTTATTTACTGTTTTTGCTAGACTCAAACACAAGCAAAGGGAAGGAAACGACCACATCCACAGTACAGAAGGAGAAATAAATAATTTGAAAGTAGCCAAGGTGAGTGTACTCACTAAAAGTTTATACTTAGATATGTTTAATTGAAATATTGAAACTGTTTATGTGAAATGAAGATGAATATATATAACTTGATTATATTATATAAGGTCCATACTCTGTCCTGGAAGGAGAGTAATATATTATATAAGGTTCATACCCTGGCTAAGAATGAAAGTACTATATTATATAAGGTCCATACTTTGGCCTAGAAGGAAATTGCTATATTTTAATGCCTGTAAAGCTGGAAGTTATATATTAATAAAGTTTAATTGAAATTATCAGATAATATTTGTTTATATTACTCTGATGTAGTAGTGTTGTATTTACAGGGCTTTAAGCTCACTCCTTTCATATCTATAATTTTTTAGGTACAAGGATGGATTACTACTGCCAGGTCTAGAGTCTTGAGTGTGATTGGGGAAAATGACAATGAAACGTCTTTTGTATAAAATGTAAATATTGTAGGAGAATTTAATAGTGTAACTTATAATCAACGGTTTAGTTTTGTCGGAACTGCATAACGAACTTATAGTTGTTTTAAATTATAAACTGTTAAGTAAACACTCTGATGTATGATGATGTCAAGTATGAATGAGATTAATGCAGATGGTTAGATACATTCCAATTGTTCAATTTATTAAATAGTGTAAATCGGGTTGGGGTGTGTCATGGTGTTTCTTAATATTAAATTAAAATTAATAAAAATAACTCATTTGGCATAGTGTTAATAAAAAAAATTAAATGATGCATCTATAAGAAATTAAAAGTGCCTTGTAACAATTTTTCAAAAATGTCTTAAATTTTTATTTCTAACAAATAAAAAAGAAAAGAAAACCTAAAGTGAAAATCATTTTAAAGTATATCTTAAATCTATATTCAAGTGATGTTATAATGATGAAAATTTCATTTTATACCTCAAATATTTCAAAATCCACTTCATTTTTTTTTTTTTTTTTGGGAAAGAAAATTGTTTCTGTCCATCACGCTGGACGTACGAGTTGGGGAAACCAGGATACGGAGACGTAGCGAAGATTTTTGGCACGGGTAATAAATTTAGGCAGAGCATATTGTGTACTTGGAGTGTTGGAAGGAATATAGGGGCCGAAGCTGAACATTCATTGGATGTGTGGATTGGAAGGTCCGACAGTGTAGGTGAAGGAGTACGAGGCTGATGGTGATGGAACCCCTGTCCAATCGAATCAGGGCTAGATTGGGTGGTATTTTTTTAAAAATAATACTTAGTTACTCATAAATATTTAATTTAAAAAAAATAAAATTCCCAACCTCAGAGGGACAATGGTTTCTATTCATTAGTGATATCATATGTCACACTAAAAGCATGGTGAGCTTAATAGTATTTTCTCACTTTTAAAAATAGAAAGTTAGAATACAAAGGAATTGGCTTAGGTGGCTATGATTTAGTGCCTCATGAAGTATTAAGTTTCTGATGAGTGTAATTGATTCCTTAGGGACCATAACTGCGGACATAATTTAAACTTTACCCGATTTGTGTGGAGTGATTGCTTTGCACTAGTTATGTGAATTACAGTAGTTGGGGCGAAGTTCCGATCATCTTAGTTATCGAAAAATAATAATAATAATAAAATAATTCTGTGAGTGATCTGTACGTGTATTTCTTACTTTTAATAGTCTATTCAATATTGTTTAACATTAGCATAATTTATGAGGTGGTCTTTGATGTAATAATAAAGTTATTCTATTGTAATTTTCATGTCACATGTTCAAAACTGAAAATAATTAATTCATACATAAATTGTGTACATCTGACTTTCTCTAAACCTTACAAAAGAGAGTTCCACTTTTATAAAACTAATTCTTTTGTCTCGCACGATTCATATATTTATGATGATGATGTTTCTTATGTTACTAGACTCTAATTCCTAATGAAATAAAAATGTGTATTTAGAAAATGATATAGTGCTTTAAATCTTCCTCATGATGACTGAATCAAAATTGTTCATTAGTAATCAGTGCTACCAGTAATCTAATATTTTATCATCAACAAAAAATTATAATCAACTAATTAAATGTGCAAATAAACTAGATTGATTAAGTTACTTTTAACTGTTGAATTTTATCTTGCAATTTTTTATTTGACAATTCAGAAATGAAATTGAAATTCAACAGTTAAAAGTCACTTAATCAAGGTGGCAATTGATCATTAACATAATATTATTTTGAGTAGTGGAATCCAACCCAAACAAGTGAAAGTTAATAACATCTGTTGGACTTTAGTGGACCAGTTGACAAATCCTTGTTTTTGCACGTAATTAAATACGTAGTATTATAATAATTAGTATAACAATCGTGAACTTTACTTTAAGAGTAATTATTCAATTGTTATTCATTAAAACAAGATTAGCGTATAAAGGGTTTCGACCCTTTACTGTTGTTTCTATTATAAGGACGCGTGCGCGCAGTTTCCAAAAGTTTAATTGCAATATCAACAAATCATGTAAGAAACTCGTACCACTCTTACACGCAATATGTTTTTTTTGGGAGGTTCAACAAGTCTTCATAAGTGGTGTGACTATATTTATTGTTAAAAAAAAATAATAATAAATAAATAAATGTTGGATAATTGTGATCAATTAGAGAGAGGCCGTGGAGTTCGGGTGTAATTTGAGTTGGGTAACCCGAGCCTAGTCATATTTTTTACAAACTTGGTTAATTATTTTTTCAATTAGGATTGAACAGTTAAAAAATCTCGACTCGAATTTAATTAGAATTGGGCTTGAGTTGAAGTACTAGCAACCCGAGCCAACCCAAATTTTAATATTATTTTCATATATATATTTATTTTTAAATATATTATATATAATATTTAAATTATGATTTTTTTTTTTTTTTCAACTTTCTTTGTTAAATGTTAACTTATTGTATGCTAACATTTAGGAGAATTAATTGTTTAAAAATTTGTTTGTACTTTATTAAAAATTTACAAAAAGTATTTAAACTTATTATTGTTTAAGGGTAATTTAATCTAAAATTAATTCAAGATTATATTAAATTTTCAGTGTAAGAATTAGTCATATAAATAACCGGAATTAACTCGAAATTTTTACCTGAAATCTAAACTCGAGTTACAAGTCCGAATTTAAAAGTAGAAGAATGAGTTAGGTTTAAGTTGATTAGTTAAGGTTAAAAATAAAATTAGTGTTAAGTATAAATTTAAGTTTAACATTTCATATAATAAATTAGATTCAAGTTGTATCAAAAACCCGCCCACCCGAGTTGCAGTAGTACTATTGTCGTGTCAAATGCTGTTCCTTATATTTGGGGAATTTGATTATTTTTTTTTTGATGAGATCTGTGCCGAGTCTGGAGGGGCTGTGGGTTTGAGGTAGGGACCTGAAAATCAGGGGACAAGTGTCCCTAAGAATATTTTTTTTTAGTAATAAATCCTTATCAATTTAATTTTTTCTATATATCCATAAAATATTATTATCGCACCCCCTAAAATTATTTAAAAAGTTTATTACCACCCCTAATTTTCTGGATCCGTCCAGACTGGAGTGAACAATCGGCCAAATCAGTTAAATTTTTATTATTATTACATAATTTTAATAATACAGTAGTAATAATAATAATAATAATAAACACAATAGTCCAAATGACATACAGAAGCATTAAGAACCCACCAAAATCAACCACAAAGCCACAATCTTTTCAGCCAGTTTACTTGCATACAAATATCACTTTATATTTACAATTACTCGTACAAATATGATTTTCCTTCTACGTCCCTTCTCTGCCAATACAATAAAGAATGATAAATGAGAAAAAGAGAGGACCAAAAAACACACACTTATTGCTCATCATACAACCATCTACATTGGAGACGCGTGTAGACTGTAGACTAACTTTGCTCTCCCATGCTAAGAATTGGCGGGTCAATATGGTAGAGCGCAGTGCTTGGCTTCTCATTTAAAACCAGTTCATGTGTCATATGAATTCGCTGCAAGTATTAACATAGAGCTTTTGAATACACATATCTGATGAATGTGAATTAAATATAAGAACAGCTGCTCTACAAACACACAGCTTTGAGTATCCTTCATGTGATGCAGAAAGAAATCGCAAGAGAGATGGAGAATTGAAGCAAATTTTAGTTGCTGTAAAATTCTCTCTTTCAACTAGAATGACGCAAACACCAACAATCACAAGACTTCATAAAGTTTCCTACTCAATCCTAGCCATGCATTGGCTTTACTACCAAATATAAATTTAAACTAAAAAATAGGAAAGTTGTCTTCAAGAATATAGTAATAGCATCAGTATATAATAATGAATCCATTCCCTAAATAATATGGCTGTAACATGTTGACCTAAGCATGCCAATTCAAGAGGAAGATTAGCAGGGTCAGCAGTCAGCTTCTCCCCCTTGCTAGTTATCATTAGCACAGAAATGTACCAATCATGTTGTGCCACGTTGAATATCAAGGGTCATTTCCATTTGTCACAGGAAAAAAAGGTGGAAGATAGAGAGCTATCTAGATAGCTTTATAGCCTGTATTTGTGAAAGTCTCTTCCCACCATTCCATAACTTCAGCAACCAAGACAGCAATGTGGCTTGATGCAGACAGTGAAAAACATACTGGACAAAAATTGAGCCTAAATGGATAATTAAGATGAATAAAATGTGCATATACATATAAAGTATGTGTATGCGTGAGAGAGATAAGAGTGTTTAGATTTAACTTCCAAAGCCATGCACATTATAATTTTTACCTCGATTTCTTTGGTCACCAAAAGAGGACCAAATCTTTTATGAAGTATGCCATCATAGTGGGGACACAGGGTCTACAGAAGTTGTCGACTGCCTCTTCACAAATGGATGGTCCAGTAGCTTAGCAGCAATAGGCCGATCATCTGGGTTAACTTTTAAGCATTCAAGGATAAAATCTTGGGCATCTCTTGATAAGTAACCAGGAATAGGAGGAGTTTCACCCCTGCCAATCCTATATAATGCTTGCGGCTGACATTGACATTGCAGAGGAAGATACATCATTAATACAAAACTACTACTTTCTCCACTTCAGCATAGGTTTCAACTTGCAAAATATGGATGATAGGACAAGATATTTAATAATTGTCATATGGACCATCAATCAATTTCTTGCTTTCTTTTTATTTTATTTTATTCTTTTGGTACAGAGTTTGAAAAGAACTTGAAATGGATCTCGCGATATGTAAAAGATTACCTATAGAATTTCAAGAAATTATGTCATCTGGATTTTTTTCTTGCATGGCATTTGAAAAAATTCGAAGTGAATCTCACCGTATGCAAATGTTCTGTAGGATTTCAAGAAATTATAGAGCTAGTCTAGTGCACGAGGCTCTCACCAATACGGGATTTGGGGAGGGTAAGATATACACACCCAGGCACCCTACCGCATGCGGAGGGTGTGCTTCCCATTTCAAATCCTTGTCTCGGTCACGATGAAGCAACTTTACCATTGTGCCAAGGCTACCTTTGACTATTAATTATTAGTTTTAGACTTTTAGTGATGAATCCCCTTTGGCATTTGTTAAAGTCCTTTCTCTTCTTCCCTCCCCTCCCAAACCACGCGGAATGGAGCCATTCCCCCTCCCCTCTCCCCCCCCCCCCCCCCCCCCCCAAAAAAAATAAAAAATAAAAAGCGGAAAAAAGGAATCATGTATTCATATCGAAACAGTACATGCCAAATTGACGGATAGATCGAGGTGTGTGCAAATAAAAAAGGAAGAGTAGTAGAAAAATGAACGCAATAGTTGGAGAATGTATAAATTTTAGTAGAAGATGGTTGAAGTAGCACAAATTGGAGAAAAAAATGAAAGAAAATCAGTGAAGAAGGTTTGGACGTGCAAAGAAGAACTTTAAGTGTGTGGTAATACTAGGGGAAGAGGAAGACCAAAACTAATATGGGTAGAATTAATAAGGAAGGATATGATAGCATGTGGATTGACTAAGGTTATGGCCTTAAATAGTGCGGAATGTAAACATAGGATTCATGTAGCCGACCCCAAGTAGTTGGGAAAAAGGTTTGATTGTTGTTGTTGTAATCAACTTTAGATGATGCTTTCTTAATTACTCTAGCAATTTTGTTGAACCTATCACATCACATAGATTACCAAACTTCAATCACGAGCACTATTACAAAAATAATAAAATAAAATAAAAATGATGTGCATGGCATAGTTATAAAATTAGAGACATCAACTTCTGGCAAGACCTTATTCATGGATTCTCACGTATAGAATGTCAAGAAACCAAAACAACCCATATAAGAAATAGCCCGATTTAAGAATGAAACTATGTAAAGATGAAATAATTAATGAATTTATAGTAAATGTGATGCATACCGCTTCCAAGTGCGAGTATGGAACTTGGCGGGTTAACATCTCTAACACAGTGCATCCAAGGCTCCATATATCAGCCGCAAGCCCATAGCCGCCACGACTCTTAACAACCTGCCAATGCATGTCTAATGTATTACAATATAGAGACAAGTATGCCAGAGGCATTCTATGGCAATCATATTTATAAAAAGGTAACTTTCCTCCACAGAAAACTGAAAAACCAAATGAGTAACATACCAATCAGCTCATTTATGAATAGAACAACAATTTGTATGAAATTTAACGAGGCAAAAAAATTGAAACATGCACTGATGTACTATGAAATGTATTTTATGACGAAATAAATTGTAACAGCTGTGCTATGAAATGTAGGCAGTCACACCAACCAGTAACAAATTATGAGTCATTGTAGACATAGTTTTTCTCTGTAAACTGAACTATGAAACTGTTTTATTTGAATTTAGTCTATTTGCTTTTCAAAGAAGTGTTTCTTTCATTCAACAAGACACTACAAAGAAAACATAATGGACCATAATATTAGAAAATTCTACCATCATGAAAGGCCATAAATAAAATAAAATAGTTTATAAATATTTCCTGAGCCAGAATAACTTGCCATCAGGGGGGAAAAAAGGTCAAAGATCTGGACTAAACCAAACAAATACAACTTAGAAGAAAAATTGGAAAAAGATAAAGAAAACAAGTGTGTGTGTGTGTGAGAGAGAGGGAGAGAGAGAGATGGAGACAGAGTTGATGGGATTAGCATATAAACATGAGTAAAACTGTGACGACCTCTGTGGGCGGGTGTGATGTGGGTGAGCACTGGCAGGCTACAGGGTGTCATGATCCCACGTCGTCTGGTTAAGGTAAAGTGCTATATGTAAGTTCTACACCCTTCTATGACAACGCTTTTTAAAGCCGCGATGGCCGTGAACCTACTAAAATTCCGGAGTTAAGCGTGCTTAATCTGCAGTAGTACCAGGATGGGACCCCCTAGGAAGTCTCTGGTCCGGGGAAACCAAAAGTGGACAATATTGTGTCTGGGTAGGGTGAGGGCTGTTAAAAAAACTATTGTCACTAGTATGTGGATAAAGCTACTAGTATACACTTGGATCAGTTAACATGCTAAGATAATACTTGTCTAACAACATAACATTTGCAGGCTAATACTGTAAAATGCCTAAAAATAATTGAAGATGTTGAAAGTATAGAGGCAAACCTCTGGGGCCATCCAAAAAACAGTCCCTTTGCAAGACTTTATGTCGTTAAACTTGGTTTTCTGATAAGATCCACAAGACAACATTTCAGTTGTTTAACATCCAAAAGTATAAGATAGAGCTAGAGAGAGAGAGAGAGAGTTATGCTGAAAAACTGTACCTTTGCCAACCCAAAATCTGCAAGTTTCACAGATCCATTTATATCCACCAGTATATTAGCACATTTTATATCCCTTGAAGAAGAGAATAGGAAAAAAGAGAGAATAAGAAAGAAAGACTCAACAAAAGAAATCTGCAAAACATACACAAAAGCATCAAATGGGATCAGATCGGAATTTATGGTTCTCCATTTCTCACTTCAAAATATCAAATTCCTGCAGTGCGCTGTTTTTTCCCCCCTTTATCAATGTTCAGATAAATTTTCTTTAATTTAGAACACGTCAATATGCAACGGCAGCAAGGCTCAGCATCACATCATGTTACAATTTAATGAAGATCAAATATTATTCTTTCAGGAGCAGGATGTGATTAGAATAGAAAAATATGATTCATGTCAGGTAGGTGAGAAAAAAGCTTTGTTGGGTTGAGTTAAAAGTAGGGCACTTCAAATTGAATCTATTGATACACTTATATTGAAAAAAGCTTTGTTGGGTTGAGTTAAAAGTAGGGCACTTCAAATTGAATCTATTGATACACTCCTGCAAAGTTATGTGATAATAGGGGAAAAGTAAATAATTCATCTTATGCTTCATGAGAGACAAAATTATGTCAAAGAAACTTTATCTATGAGAAGACAAACAAATCAGGGTACCTCTACTAAGGCCTACAGTAGAAACCTAATTGAATTTTTTTTTTAACTACATTTTCATAATTGACATCTCTTCACCAAGTGACAAGCTGAGGGCTTGGATTAAATATTTTAGGAGTTTACAGTTGGGATATTCTGGTCAATATCCAGAACAGCTGTTGATCAAATTATGAATGCACAGTAGAATTTCACTCTGTTTTATTATTTGCTTTTCTCTCTTTGTTTCTCCCTTATTATTATTATTTTTTTACCATTCTCAAAACCTCATTGCTCTCTCCCTTATATAATAACATGAGCCCGAGAACTGCATGGATTTTTCTGAAGGCTGTTGCTGTTACCAAAACAACTCTGGATACTACCAAAGAAAATGCTGCTGTGAACAATTGTCCTGTCTCCTTCCATAACTGTACTTTCACTGCTTTGCAATGGGATACCCTAAAATACAACTAATCAAATATCCACATAAAAAGCAAAGGCGTTCCATATTAAATAGAACATTTTTACTTGAACATGCCACAGACAAGGAAAACAGTAAAGGAATCAAATGGCAGAAAACATTAGCAATTAAAAAAAAAAAAAACCCTCCAACTAAGCAAAAGCTTGGCTACAAAAAGATTATTGTAGGAAAACAGAAAGAAATAAGCCTCAGAGTTTCCAAGTGTAGGTAGATGAAGAAAATATTATTTGTATCACCTGTGAACCACATTTCGGCTGTGAAGATAATTTAAACCATTCAAAATATCCCTTGTATATACAGAAACTTGGGAATCGCGCAGCTGGTACTTTCGATAGAGGTTGGCAAGCGAACCATTGGATACAAGCTCAAGGAAGATATAGAGTTTGCCATCATTCTGGAAAGATCATTTTGCATACAGAAAGAAAAAGAATACATAAACCCCTATCCTCATAATTGAAAGTGAGAAACATAACAAACTAAAACCTAAAGTAAAATATAGAAGATATTTCCTTTTATTTATCAACAACATAATGCCAACAACAATGGAGGGAAAGTCTTGCTAAAGCTAGAAAGTCCATCAACAGCAGAAACACCTTTTTTTTTTTTGGCCATAGCATTATGCTTTAAATTTATTTCTTTATTCACATCAACATTCAGATGTCTAACTAATTGGTAGAAAAGAAGCTTCAAGCATCAATTAGCAGTTGATATAGCTCGTAGAGAAAGATCACAATGCAACTTCAGAATGGTCTTAAAAAATATTTAGAGAAATGTAATAAATAAAGGAGAGCAAAAGAAAACCTTGAATATGAACTTAGAACCAAACTTAGTTCTTCTACCATTTTGTTGATGTAGTTTTCCAATGGTCAAGAAAGGTGACCCCAATATGGAGCTGAAACAGCTAATTATAATTAATGTGCTAATTATCAATATGATGCCAGAAATAGATTGATTTTGTATCACCTTTCAATTCAAAAGGCAATGCACAATTTTTCAACAAGACATCTTCAAGCATATGGCCAATAAGAAGCATGGTGAACAATAAGTTACCACCAGAAGATACCACCTAGTAGGAAGGTAGAATATAAAGAAGAAGAACCCACTCAAAAGTTAGAAACCGTACCTTTTCTGTACCAAGGTATTGAACAATGTTCTCATGTTCAAAATGCCTTAAGAGAGAGATTTCCTGAACAATTAAAAATGATGAGAAAAACAAATCAAGCAAACCAATAATGAATACAATATATGACTACATTCAATTTGTATTCCATAAAAATATGATAGATTCTTCTCACTTGTTGAAGTTGAACCTTGCTTCCTTGATCAAGCAAAGAAACCTCCTTCACGGCAAAAAAGAACCCATAACTGTCAGAAAAATAAGAAGAAAAAGAACAATATGAGAGGGAGTGAAATAAAGAGAAATGAGGATGAGGAGGCAAGAAAGAAGGGGGCATACAATGGACAATGGAAAACATAAACAGAGAAGATGAGGAGTTCTCCTCCTCTAAAGAGAAGATGAAATAATACTAAAAACAAATACCAAGCCCTTGGGAGGCAGGGATAAGAATCAAAAGAAACTTCCCCTTTTGCAAATAAGTATGCCCCTAAGCAGATTCAATAGTCTAAAGTAAAAATCAACCACAGAAAAACAAAAATGATCCCTAATTCTCTGACAAACTAACCAATACATTAGCGAAGGGCTGTCCATGGTGAATGATTCAAGCCCCTAGCTGTCCATTCTACAATCCCCGATGTAAGCAAATGCCATCAGCAGTTCTTCTTTTGATGCTTCAACCACGAGCCACGTCAATAATTTATGAAGAGCAGAAAATAAATACTGCTGCAATCATGATTTATGCACATAATCCAGTCCCGATTAGCCACAGGTTCCAAATAGAGCAGTCATCGAAATCAGCCATAGTCCAACCATACTTCCAAGACGGGCTGGAGTAGAGAAAAATGAACTTCCAATTTCTTACAGTATCACAAAGGACTTATCCTTAAATTCTGTAACAAAATATAAGCCCAAATAGGGGCGAGGGACAAAGCTGTCTCCCATACAAAAATAGAGTTGTCAAGAAAATCATCAGCGTAAAATTTCTATTGCACTCTTTCAAAGAGCCCACATAACGTCCAAAAGGCAAAAATAATTTTTCACAGGATCTCACCCTTATGACCCCCAAAACCAGTGTAGCAATTCTCAATAATTCTTAATATCCAATTGAAACTTCCCAATCTTAACCAATCAGAAAAGAGAACATGGCAAGGACAATGCCAAGTAAAGAAATGAATGGACCATTTTAACAGCAATGGGCGGAAAGGGCCTTGAATCTATTTCCCTGTCTCTCTCTCGCGCTATCAAATTTGCAAATGGGACAAGATAAATCCCATGAAGGCAAGAACCAACCGTGGAAACAGCAACAAATACAACAACAATAATAAAGCACTTCGCAGCTAATACAAATGCATCATGATTTACAGGGTTCAGCAATGTTTTCACATCCATACAGGAAGGAGGTAAAATCCCAACCCTTTAAAGATGAGGTTACGTAGCTTTTCAAAGCTTCACCTTCCTCAAACTGAAACCCATATCTTAATACATAAACCTAAATGACACCTTCAACATTTTTTTTGAACAAGTAGAAGTGACACCTCAATTACGACAACATCCAACAAAGTTTGAATAACATAAGCATGAGCAGTTCCACACATGCTTAGGCCTAGTACCTCGGACGAGGTGACTTCTTGCAATCCCTTTTTCTGTTGGGTTAACTACTAACATTTACCATAAGGTGAGATAGTTAAAACTTTTTATATAGACTTGTCAACATGTTAGTTGCATTTTTTTTCCGTATCTTCATGAAAGAATATATATCTATCCAGAATGTGCTGATTCTTGTATCTTGTGATTTGCGTATTTATATGTCTGTGTTCTCACATAATATCACAGATTTTGGCCACCGCGCCACATTGTCCCCTGAGCATTATAGGGAAATTGAACATTTTCTTAATTGAAGTGAAGCTCAAAAATCCACTTGTCCCCAGGCTTTAAAGCTTGCCACCATGTATAGTAATTTACTCAATTTTTATTATGGAGAATGTTAGAGTTAGTCGTAAAACCATGTATTACCAACCTTGTGGTGTAGAAGAATTGATATTGGCACTTGCGCCTTAAGAATCGGAAGATCCTAATTTTAACCTCTTCCACGAGGAACAGTCACCTTCCCGAGTTTTCCCAGTCTGGAGTGCACAGTGGCTATACTTGTCTCCAAGTGTTAATTGAGCGAAAGGTTCAGATACTTTGTCAACAAAATATGATTATCACTGTATTAATGCAACTACAATTGCAAACATACATCTGTCATAGACCAAGCAACTAGATTGCTAGGATGCATTCAATTTTGTCTCAAAATACTCTATTAATGCTAGAATTTGCTTGGTGGATTTTTCTGAAAGACTTTGGAAACCTTTTTGGAAGCTACCTTTCCGCATAGTATGTGCAATTGGAACTCAAGTTTGATCAGTTGAACCTAGTTTAGTGAGGTAAGATAAATCAAACTCCCTCATCTGAACACTGACTTAAAGCAGCTCTTTGCATTCAAAACATAATTTTAAGGATCAAAACATGCAAATTCTAAATCCATGTGATTTCATGATTATGAAAAAAAAAAAAAAAAAAAAACATGTACATTCTAAATCCATGTGAATGCATGATTACTTTTATACTCTGTTTTGAACTATTGAAATATCCTATAAATCACTTTTGAAAAAGATAGAATTAAAAAATTACAGGCATCATTTTTATTTGGAATCTGTCAACCATTGGAATGTTTTGGTTCTGGGTAACTCCAAAGGATAAGTACGAGACGCCCATATCCCAACTGGGAATTTTGATCCCTAAAACCCCCGTTTTGGAGTGACATAAAAACCAATCATTAATCCAATTGGTGCTAGTTTATCACAAAGTATCCCAATAACTCATAGAACTTCCATCAAGGAATGTAAAAATCAAAATTAAACATAAATGGCAAGCTATTGTTCCTTTGCAAAGCAACTCATAACTGATTACCTCAAAAGTACCTAGACAAAAGAAGTAATAGTCCTATGATTAAGAAACACATAATAATCCAAAGAACCAAGGACCTTTATGGTTCTGTTCTCTGCAAACAAATTTCAAGAACTCTCGAAACAAAAGTAGTTTTCACAAAACTGTCATCTAAAGTTGGGCCTTTCAAATTCAATTGTTGTAAGACAGATTTCAAAACTATCAATTAAATGAAAATTTTGTACTGTTTTTAATTATCTGAGAACTAAAAATTGTAAGAAAACCAAGCCAAGCAATCCCTAAATTACAAAGGCAGTGAAGTGGTATGGAAGACTTACTCAGTGAAAGCTTCGTAGACTGTTCCGAATGATCCACTTCCCAGAAGGTCCCCCTTCTGCCAAGACTTTATAATGCGCCTAAATTTTGGACATGGGGCAGGAAGGCACTTGGTTTCCATGGTTGTACTATAGGAATCATCATCATTACCGATGTTTGAGTCATCTGAATAGGACTTAGAAAAAACTGCAGTATCATCTCTAAACTGACCTTCTGGGAAAAGTGAACAATACAGGAAACAAGTCCTGGTCAATGTGATGAGATAAACTATGAAAACTTAACTTTAAAAGAGGAAACGCCTTGTCTCCCATACCTGAAAGTTGAGAAGAGGATATCCTGAAGAAAGTTATTGCATCATTCCATTCCTTGGAAGTTGTCTTGCTAGCCATGGCTCGTGCAACTGTAACCAGCTTACGTGGCAAACCAGCACATTCTTGGCAAATGTGTTGGGCTAGATTGAATATTTCGGGATCAGAATTTAGGATCTCTTTTCGCACCTTGTCTTGAAACAAATCCCACGCTTGCTGTGGTGACAAACATTCCAATTCAATGTTCCTTTGAGCTTCCATGAGGCCGCACACATGCTTATATGGGGTGGTGAACACTATCTTGGACTTATTTTGTTCGTTTGGGAGAGGAATTCCCACTTCAAGATGATCAAGTCGCTCCCATATGTCATCCAACAATAGCACAAACCTCTTCATCTTCAAGACCCTAAAGATGTCTGCCTTCTTTTGGTCTTGGCTCTTATCCCTCCATATGTCATGTGGAAATCCAAGCCTTCTCCCAATTTGATATTGAACTTTTTCAACATTTAGATCTTTGGACACTGCAACCCATATCACCACATCAAATTCTGCAATCAGCTGATTTGCTAGCTCGTTGTTGAGTTTCTTGAGGAGGGTTGTCTTACCAACACCCTCTATTCCAAATATTCCGATGATTCCCACTTCATCATTTCTACCAAGTAAATCCCAGACCTTGTCAAATGCCGAATCCAATCCCACAGTCATTTCAAGAGGCACTTCTTCTACTCTACCCGGGGGCAATGCTTCAGCGACAGTGCTGAAATTTCCCGCACTCTTCAGATCTGTCAAAACTTTAAGCTTCTTAAGTATTTTCTTGCTGAGTTTAAGTCTAGGACAGATTACTAGACACTTTTTCTGGATCTCTTTTGCAGCAACCTGTTCCAGGAGCACCTCCACTTCCGAATTAAATTCTTCTACGCTTCGAAGCCAACCCTTAACTTGTTCGGTGCTCTGCATCTGTACACTCTCGGCTCTTTCAACCATTCTCTTCACAACATTTCTCTGCTCCATCAATTTCTCCATTTCGTCTCTCAAAGAGTTGAAGTTCTTTTGGAAATGAAAAGTATTCCTGACATTTTTTGCAATGTAAAAACCCAACCCAGATCCAACAGCTGTTACAGCGCCCAAGATCAGCAAGTCGGCCATTGCAGGCTTTATTACAAGACTCTAGGAGAAGGGAGGGAGAGCAAACAAATTATTGTAAATATTCGAACTTTTATTTGGTCATTCTGGAATCTGAACAAGTTGATCATGACTTGTTCCAGAGAGAAGACAACACCAAGTAAACAAACATCTACTCCACTAAGTATTGAATTTTATTGTGCTGCCTCTACATCAAGATTTGGGGATGTTTTGACTTGGTCTTCTCTCTCAGTGTTTAGCACCCTTCAGAGTCATCAACAAATAACATATTGAGAACAAGCAACGTCGTCTCTGAAGTAACAGTCAACTGATAATAGACTCATATTAATTAATAATATATACTTATATATATAAAGCATATTTGCCTATAGAGAGAGAAACGTGTCTAGGAAAGGCCTGGTCAAATTGTGTATTTATAATAAGAAAGAAATGGATTAAGATTGCAACCTTTGGTCATTAGAACAACCGGAACTGGGTCGTGCTCACAAATCCCATTCGAACAATCACAAACCTTGCACGATTTGGAACGAGTAATACTTGCATCCTCCAGGATGAAGTTAATCCTCCCTGTTGACGTGGCCACATTCTTTGCTGACAACTGTTTAAAATTAAAAAATAATAAAAATATGGGTAATATCATTTGTGCGGGTTAAACCCGTTTCTCCGCACTCTCTTCTCTCTCTTTATAAAGACGACCCACCTTCTTCCACCGCTCTCCTCGCCTTCTCCGCCAACTCCTTCGCCCGACGCCTCATCTCCAGCGTCTCACCGCCTCCCATCAACCGCCGCACCGCCGCCTCCACCTTCTCCCTCCCCACCACCTCCTTCCTCTCCATATTCCACGATGCCCACTCCAAACTCCCCACCCTCACCCCAATCCGCAACACCTTCGTCACCAGCTTCTCATTATAGAACTGCTCCGCCGAGATCGGCCAAGTCACCATCGGCACGCCGGCACAAAACCCTCCATAGTCGAATTCCACCCACAGTGGGTCATAAAACCCCCCACCGCCTCATGTTCCAAGATCAGCAACTGTGGAGCCGACCCTTTGATGATCAACCCCTTCTGGGTTTTCATCATTCTCTGCTCAAACCCATCGCGTAACCAATTTTTATCACTTTTTTCGTTCGATTCCATTATTTTTTCGACCACCCAAATGAAACTGTAATCAGACGACTCGAGACCGTAAGCAATTTCATGAAGCTGAGTCGACTTCAATCGAGCTAAGCTACCAAAACTAACATATATAAATGAAATGGGAGTTTTTGAATCTAGCTATTTCAAGCAACTCTGTTCATCAATGGCGGAAATCAAAATATCTCAGATCCTCAAAATATGCATTGCCAACCTCAATTAAAAGAAATCAAGGGTCTTTGAGTTTATAATAAAAATAACACTAACACCCACATTAGCAGCTCCAATCTAGATCACACATAATTCACTACCATTACTAATTTTTTTTTTAAAAAAAAAAATTGTAACTACAAAAAAGAAACAAAAAAAACAAGCTATAACTATCAGCGTCGAATTGGAACTGGATCGGAGCCCTAACGCCTTCTTGGGAAGCAGCAGTGGAAGTGAGGGATCGCTGCATTGACGGTGAGCTTGACGGCGAGCTGGACAGCGACGATGGCGACGGGGATGGGGATCGGTCGGAGTTGAAAGAATTGGTAGGAATGTAGGTGAGAGGCTTCCTGGTGGAGGTGCGGCAAGCGGTGACGAAGATCTCGTAGGCGGTGTCGCGGAGGTCGGTGGCGGAGAGTGTGGGCGTGAGGTCGCCGAATGGGGAGGGAAGAGAGGAGGTGGTGGCGGTAACGGCGGCGACGGTGGCGGTGGTGAGGCTGAAGCGGGAGCTGGTTGTTCCGGGCATGTTCTCTCTCTTGGATTGGCCGAGGGTTCTGTCTCTGAAGAAAGAAGCCATTGTAGAGAGAGAAGGTGGAAGAGAGAGGAGAGAGAGAGCAGGGGAGGGAGAGGAGATTAGTGCTTAGGAGAAACGGGTTTAACCCGTACAAATGGGTACTACCCATTTTTTATATTTTTTAATGTTGAACAGGTGTCAGCAGGGAGTGTGGCCACGATGAACTTCATCCTCTGATGCAAGTATTGCTCATCTGGAATACCCACCTTTGACCACGACCATGTCCGTACTATTATCGCATTCGACGCCAATGCTATGCCTTATATTTGGGGATTTTGAAAAAAAAAAAATTGATGATATCTTCGATTGTGGTTCGAGTCTGGAGGATTGTGGGTTTGAAGAAGTTGTCGGGTTGGTGGAGCAATCGGAGCAGCCACTGGTGTGGGGCGGCGATGATGGAGGCCGGGCAGGAGCCGACTTTGCCATGGCACATTTGTCAAGTTTGGAATATATGATTTTATCCAAAAAATTTACCCTCTACTAAAGCTATTAGATACCGTTGACATCCAATTTTATGTATCAGGATCATTTGGATATTACGTGGAACAAGAATTCATGACACTAATCTCACAAATTTGCAGTTTTGTGGCATCTGTGCTATTTCTGTTTGTCATAGTAATTTTGGTCATAAATTTTTAAAATGATTTGATGAGTTGTATAATTGGAAAGGTGATAATGTATTCAGTTTTGATCTGCTGTAAGAATTTGTATTGAATGGATTGACACGAATATAACACTATTAAATTGGAGAATGTTGGACCTTTTATTTATTACCACCCCTGGTTCATGGAATGTCGTTCATAGCTTCGGCTTTGTGTAAGGTGTGGGGGAGAAGATGAATCAGGTGGCATAGAAGGGAAAAGGGATGGCATAGAAAGAAATTTTGGAATTAAACTGGGGCGTGTTAGGCCTTTTATTTTATTTTTAAGGCTAAAAGTAACGGACGTATGCTTCATAGTCACAATGTAGTATTTTAGTGCTGAGTTTTGTAGTCCCCCCGGATGTATTTTGATACTGTAGTTTAGAAATATTAGACTAAAAGACAATAATGTTCATTACTTTAGCTTTTAATTACTAACAAAATTAGAAGTACTCTCCTATTAGACTCAGAGACAATAATGTTCTTAACTTTAGCTTTCTTTCTATTCAAATGTTGTTCATTCAAATTTTTGTTAAGTTTTGAGTCGGTGTAACTGTTTGACTATCAAAGCCTTGGCTTATGGTCCACCCCTTTTTTGTTTCTCAAAGCTTTTTGAGGTGGTGGTCCGGCCGCTACTAAATTGCCATGTAGTACGTATATTGTGTCAGCAACTTTTACTCATCAGAATTCCAATCGTCTCCCTCCCAACTCTCTCTCTACGCCTCACTATCCTCCCAACTTTCTCTCTCTACGCGTCATGTAACCACTAAGGCACTAACCAGGACTTCCCTCTCATTGCCGAAGAAGACGACCATAGCCCTCACCGGCACCGGATGATCGCCTCCGATAAATTAACTGGCGCCCGCAACTCCGCCAAATTCAAGTCCAGACACTGCGGTAGCCACTAGCCGCCGATTCTAGCGGTGAGTTCCGGAGTCACGTTACCGGAGGAATCGATGAATCAATCTTGTTCTTACACTGTTCTGCACTCTTACAAAACTGTTGCGCATCACATCTCTCATTCACGATCTCAGCCACGTGTGTTCCTTCCAATGATCGACTCGGAACTCATGGAATCGACAGCTACGCCACCGTGTTTGGCTTCTTGTGGTGGGTGGGAACTTCTCTTGCCGTTTGGAGTGGTGCTTTCTGGTCTGTTGTGGTCGGACGATTCGTCGCCGGCGTTGGCAAGGGAATTGGCCTTGGCATTCGGAGAGTAGCACTCGGCAAAAATGCGTGCGCCGGTGAATTTATCGACGGCGATGCCGTGAGAGGCCAAGTCTGGTGCAGACGAGAGTTATGGCCTTCTTCTTAGGGAAGTCGTGGTTTTTAAATTTCTTTGAGAGGGGCAATATATTAGTGGCAGGTCCCACAAATGAGGTGGTGGATTCACCTTGCTATTTTATTTATTTAGAATAATGATAAGGAACCGAACAATTATTTTCGAATTGTCACCGAATGTGACCTGGTAAAGACACGCCAACTTCTTTAAACACGTGATTTATAATCGTTACCTCATTCGGACAACAAATATATAATATTTGCATCATCAAGCAACGAAGAGCAGCGCCATATCGACCGACTTTTAATCAAATCAATTCCTTTAGGCTTCGTTTGGATACACGGACAGAAAAAAAAAGAAAGGATTATGAGAGAAAAGAAAAGAAAAGATGTTTATATTCATATTTGGATAGATAGGAAAGAAAAGAAAAGAATTGATAATATTGTTGTTTGGATAACAAAAAGGAAAGAAAAGAAAAGAATTGATAATAATAAAATTACTATCTTACCCTTTACCCTTTTTGGTAGGGTTAGAACACTAAAATGGGCAAGGCAATAAAATCGACGGCGCCGTAGTATTTGGGTTTGGATGGGTGGTGTTGATTCGGAGTAGTGTTGGAATCTTGATGTGATCGCCCATCAACCTTCCAATGCTATCAGTCAACAAAAGTAGAGAGAGAAAGTAAAGACGAATTAGCAACTGTAGTGGTTGTTTCTGAAATTCATCTCCATTTCTTTTGGTTCTCTCAATCAGCTGTATCACCTCCCTTCAAGTTGAGACAACATCCATTTTGGGAAATTCACACCCCATACCATCTTATATCCAACTTTTTTAGATTTTGTTGCGGTTGCAGTCCACATAAGAGTCGCCGTAACACTGGAACCAGAGGGTGCAGAAGTTGCGATTGGAGATGGAATGGGATTTCTTGATTTAGGGGGAGAAATTGTTGAACAAGTTGGGTTGGAGGTGATTGACGAGTTACTTGATGAGTTATTTATATATCTCACAATTTCTTGGTGAGATATATATATATATATATTATGATGAGTAATGGTGTTTTTTATTTTTATTTTTCGGAAACTGTTGTGTAAATTAACAGAGGCAAATAAGGCTATTTCTCCTTCAATCGCACTCTCTGGAGATCATTATGGAAACATGGAAATCTCTTATAATTTTGAGGGAAATCGTCCCTACCCAGAAACCCATTCCGACAACATGAAACCCATTAACTGCCATTTTTCGCCGGAAGTGAGTTCAATCGCATTAACGGCCATTTTTTGCCGGAAGTTGCGGTCATGACTAATTCCATAGGTGAGTTCAAGCATACCCCTAAAAACTATACATCTCACAGATCCCTCCGTCTCTCTCTCTCTCTCTCTCTCTCTCTCTCTCTCCAACTACAAAATCTACAAAAATAGTCAAAAACCCATATCAGCTCTCTCTCTCTCTCTTCAACTGCCAACTACAAAATCTACCAAAATTAGTAGTTCAAAACCCATCTGCTCTCTCTCTCTCTCCCCAGCTGCAAACTACAAAATCTACAAAAATAGAAGGTCAAAACCCATATCGGCTGTCTCTCTCTCCAACTGCCAACTACAAAATCTACCAAAATCAAAAGACGATCTCTGCAACAGACGATCTCTGCAACTTCCAGCGAATTTTCCGGCGTTCTCTGCAACTTCCGGCGAATTTTCAGACGATTTCTGCAACTTCCGGCGACTTTTCCGACGATTTCTGCAACTTCCGGCGAGTTTCCGACAGTCTCTGCAACTTTCGACGAATTTTCCGATGATCTTTGCAACTTCCGGCGACTTTTCCGAATGGGCTCCAAAGGTCATTAGCTCCCTTTCTCTCCAAATCCCTCCAAATCTTGTCAATTTTGGAGGGATTTGGTTTTACTGTTTAGGAGAGATTTGGAGGGATAGGCTATCCCTCCAAATCCTTCCCAATCCTTTCTTTTCTCTCCAAAACCCTCCATCCAAACACACCTATCCCTATCCTTCCCTTTCTTTTCTCTCCAAAACCCTCCAAATCCCTCAATCCAAACGAGGCCTTAATCAGTTTATTATTCCATTATAAAATTTTCCCAAAAGTTTTTTTTTTTTTTTTTTTTTTCAACGGCAAAATCAATGGCCGGCGATTAGCCCTGAGAGGGATTGTTTGGGCTTCCATTGCAAGAGACTGGGTTTTGACTGGAAGCATCTTCTCAGACTCGTTGCCGTTGAGTGCTGCGATTTGTGAGGTTGAAGAAGAAGGAATCAACGAGGAGATCAAAAATTCCAAATGATTACTAGCTACACCTTACAATCTAAATTAGGAACTGCACAAACCAAAAACATAAATTACAGGGTCTTCGTAGCTCAACCTTAAGAAATATTATTCTGGGTTCTTTTATTTGAATCAAAGTCAGCCCAAGAAACCACAAATGTGTCTCTTCCTCCCAAACCCAATTCAACAAATTTGCAAAACAATACCCAAAAAAAAAAAAAAAAAAAAAAAAAAAAAAGACCAGTAATCAAATGAAAGCCAATAAGAGCAAAATTAACGGCCAACGATGAGCCATGAGAGGGATTGCGTGGGCTTCCATTGCAAGAGATTGCGTTTTGACTGGAAGCTTCTTCTCAGGCTCGCCATTGAGTGCTGCGATTTGTGAGGTTGAAGAAGCAGGACAATTTTGTGAGGTTGAAGGTGAACAGCGGATGACCCACCAAGCCCACATGAGGTGAGAGAAAAAATAAATTCTCCCGTTAGAAATACGCTTAAAATTTATGACTCGGCTTGGTCACGTTAAATTCGGTGGATATTCAGGAGAAATAATTCGGTTTTTCTATCTTCACTATTTTATTTATAAGAATTTGAGGATATAAGAATAATTAATTTTAACTTGTCAAAAAAAAAGAAAAAGAATATTTAATTTTAAAATAGATATCTATTAGGGAGTATAACCATTGTGCAACTTAGAAGCTTTCTGTAATAGATTATTCAAGTCTTTACATCTTATTTTAAATCCATGCATATATACTTCTATCCAATTTATTCACTTAAAAATACCTTTTATCAGAAAACTTATAAAGCACACTGCTATAAAAACATACATTTTTTATAATAAAATTATCATGAAACAGAAAACTGACAACCAAAAATTTTTAATAAAGTTTACGAATATTCAGTACTCTGAGAACAAAAAAACTGAACCGAACAAAAAACTGAACCTAACTTCCAAGTTGACTGGTTTAAGCATGTAAACTATTGTTATTTGTCCAAACCCTTTTATTTTTTAGCCTTTGCAATGAACATAAATCCATGTAGTTGCTCTTACCCTCCTTTTTCTATCATTTTATCAACCGGTGAGATATCTGAATGTTTTAGCTGTTCATTTGCGTGCTAATAACTACTCCCAAACTATATATATATATTTTTCCAAACAAACCAAATGACAATTGCTCCTCAAAATTGTAGGGCGAGTACTTTTTGAAATAACAAGAACATGATTTTTTTGAAGGATAGTTATGTCATTTCCTTTCGGAAAAAATTGAAGGTGACGTCGAAGTGCAAGAACAAATTTGGATTGTGCGAACATAATCCCCAAGAGTATTTGAACGGATCTCTTCATCCACATACTCCCTACACAATAAACAAAATCACACAAATATAACAAACAGAAATATTAAGATAACCAAAATCATTCAGAAAAGATGGCACTTTCACTAAAAGATATGCTTCCTATCTTTTCTGCTGGCTAACTTGTATACAAAAATAAACACTTGATATTTACAATTACTCATACAAACTTGATTCCCTATATCCCCCTTCTCTTGCTAATACAATAAAAGAATGAGAAATAAAAAAGAAGCGAGGGCAAAAAAAACATACAATTTTTGCATAATCACACACAACCGTCTATATTGGAGACGCGTGTACACCAACTTGCTCTCCAATGCTAAGAATTGTCCAATGGGTAAATATGGACGAGCGCAGCGCTTGGCTTCTCATTTAAAACCAGTTTCTGAGTGTTCACATGAATACGCTGCAAGTATTAGCACAAAGAGCTTTTGAGTACATGTATCAGATGAATGTGAATTATTAATAGCAATGGTATGTAAGAATTAATCCATTCCCTGAATAATATGCTTGTAACATATAGATCTGTACAAAGAATTGTACATAATAAGCAAGCCAATTCAACATGAAGATTAGAAGTAATAAGATTTTTACCTCAATTTCTTTGGTCATCAAAAGTGGAGCAAATCATTTATGGTATTCTGCCATTATAGTAAGGAGATGCAGGGCCTACAGAAGAAGTTATCGATGGCCTCTTCAAAAATGGATGGTTCAATAGCTGAGCAGCAGTAGGCCGATTATCTGGGTTAACTTGTAAACATTTAAGGATAAAATCTTGGGCATCTCTTGATAAGGAATCAGGAATAGGAGGAGCTTCACCCCTGCCAATCCTAAATATTGCTTGCATCTGGTCATGGCACAAGAAGATACATCCTTAATAAAAACTAAAAAAATCCTCCACTTCAGCATGGGTTTCAATTTGCAAAATATGGGTAATACAACAAGACATTTAATAAAATTCATTGGGACATCAAACAATTTCTTTTTCTTTTCAATTTTATTCTTTTTGTACAAAGCATTTCAAAGATCTAGGTGTACGGCAATAAAAAGGGCATTTTATAGGATAAGAATGATTGTGATAGTTGAAGAATGCATAAAATGTTGTAGAATATGTCGAACGCTTGTCACAGTAATCAATACAGAACTAAGCACTCCTTTGGTTTTACTGTATGCTTTATCCGTTACCCCACAGGACAATATTTTTTTGAGAGTAATTTGGAGAATTTTCAACTTTTGCATACGTGAGATAACAGGATTTGCGGAAGAAAGAAGTAACCTTAAACCCTACTCCTAGGGCGGCTTAGCTTAAAAGAAAATCAAAGGCAGGGCTCAACCATGGCAGGGATACCTTCTATGAAATATTCTTCTGAACATGATTACAATTTTGTGTTGAATGGCTTGAAAGAGAAGTATCATATCCATTAATGGTTCCATTTAATCTTTGCTAGAGACTATCACGCGGGAATCAACCGTTCATATAATTCTTTGATAGAAAGAAATCTCAGAGGGAGCAGAAGAGGCAAAAATTGGACTCCTGTTTAATGCAAACAGAACTTCTCTTTCAGGAAGTTGTGATCAGTAAAATTATTTATTCAATTGTGCCAATCCCAAAAGAAAGCCTAAAGGTTCAATAACATCTGCACCAAACTGTTTATTCAATTACACCAATCCCAATTATACTATGCAGTCTATGCCTGTCCAAGGAGATCTGAAGATTCAAGAACTGTGGCTCTCACATGTCAACTATGTGTAATAATCTAGCATTAGAACAGAACCAACATTACTGAAGCAACTTTGTTGAACCAATCATATCACATGGATTACCAAACTTCAATCATGAGCAACATTACAAATAAGAAAAAGAAAAAAAAAACAAAAACAAATGATGTGAATGGCATTCAAATTAATTGAAATATTGAGCTACAAAATAAGAGACCCACAACTTCTGGCAAGACATTTTTCAAGGTTTCTCACATAAAGAATGTATAAAAAACCAAAGCAATCAATGTAAGAAATCACCAGACCTAAGAATGAAACTATTTAGTAATAATAAAATAATTACTGAATTTATAGTAAATGTCATGCATACCCCTTCCAAGTGTGAGTATGGAACTTGACGTGTTAACATCTCTAACACAGTGCATCCAAGGCTCCATATATCGGCTGCAAGCCCATAGCCACGGTTCCTCCGGTTAACGACCTGATAGTGCATGTCTAATTTATTACACCTCATTACACAATAAAGACAGGTATGCTAGAGGCATCTATGACCAACATATATATACAAGGTTTTCCTCCATAGAAAACTGAAAAGCCAGATGAGCAACAAACACATCAGCTCATGTATGAATAGAACATCAGAGTCGGCACAAATCTAAAAACAACAATCTGTATCATGTTGCAACAAATATAGTCAGTATTATGCAACGCTCTTTCACATACCGGTTGTACACAAAAGGTAACAGTACAAAACTTCATGAGACTTTGTAAGTAGGATCCATTAAAAACAGAGCTTATGAATTTTGCCTGAAAATAATAATAACACTAACAAGGAATTCAGATGTTGCTTTTTTATGGACTGTATAATATATATACATATATGCATTCTTCCATAACAAATATTGTGCATTAGTTCTAAGGAATTGTGAGCATTGAGAATATACATAATTTGAAAGAACATAATCCAAATATTACATTATGTGTACTAAACACAGATATGCAATGAAAGTGGAGTCACTATTATGTATTTGTCAAAATGTTAATCATTATCATTTATCATTTTTTTTGTAAAAATAAAAAATAAAAATAAAAAAATATATAACAATACTTGTACAATGACCAAATTTCTCATCATATGATCTTTGAGTAAATTATCAACTAATCAATTCAAAATTGTCTTATAAAGAAATATGTACAAAAAAAAAGTTCTGCTTACCCATTTATCATATTAATTAGAATTATAAATTTTTGTACTGACATTTTATGGTTAATAAATAATAAAGAAAGAAAGAAAAGTGAACTTCATAGTTGCTTAAAATTGTGCACTGTGATTTTTCATATAGTCATTTTTAAAACAAACTTGAATCAAGCCAGAACACATCATTGATGCATCTTTTTACATATGGTGTCTACTATTGCTTTGCCCCTAGAGTGCTGCAATCACCTGTTTCAAAATTTTATGATGGCATATTCACTGATGTGCTATCAAATGTAGTTTATCATCAACGAAAAAAGTTAGCAAACAGTAACAATTGTTGTGCAATGGAATGTAGCAGTTTCACCTCAGATTAAGAGTTCACGAGACAAATTGTTAGGCATAACTTTTCTTCTGTAAACTGAACTATCAAACGGGTTTTTTTTGTTATCAGTCTATTTAGTTTTCAAAAACGTGTTTCTTTCATTCAACAAATGCTATGTTTGGTTGGAAGGAAGGATTGAGGAAGGATGGAAGAGAAGACGGATAGAAGAAGCTTCCCTTGTTTAGTTAAAAGGAAGGGAAGATAGGGAGGAAGAAAGGAGGGATGCTTCATCCCTCCTAGACAATGTTTTGGAAGTTTTTTTATCTGTCCAAAATTGGGGGAAGAGAGGAGTGAAAGAAAGAATAGCTACCCTACAAATATATAATACCAATTTTAACCTTTAATTACTTACAAAATCACTTGTATTATGAGAGTATATTGTTAGAAAAATGTCAAAGATCTGGCATAAACCAAACAAATACACTTTAGAAGAAAAATTGGAAATAGAAAAAACAAACAACAGAATCTCTAATTGAAAATGCATGTCTCAGAGAGAGAGAGAGAGAGAGAGAGAGTTGATGGGATTAGCATACAAAAATGATTTAAAACTATCACCATTACTGTATGTAGATAATGCTACGAGTACGCACTTGGATCAGTTAGCATACTAATAAATAACACTTATCTGACTACATAGCATTTGCAAGCTTATACAGTTAAATACCCAAAAATAATTGAAGATTCTTAACATACTAAAAAGATAACACGTATCTGACTACATAGCATTTGCAAGTTAATACAGTTAACACCCAGAAAGAATGGAAGATTCTGATAGAATAGAGGCAAACCTCCGGGGCCATCCAAAAAGCAGTCCCTTTGCATGACTTTACATCATTTAATTTGGTTGCCTGAGAAGATACACAAGATGACATTTTCAGTAGTTTAACATCTAAAAGCAGAGAGAGAGAGAGAGAGAGAGAGAGAGAGAGTTATGCTTAAAAAACTAACCTTTGCCAACCCAAAATCCGCAAGTTTCACAGATCCACTTGCATCCACCAATATATTAGCACATTTTATATCCCTTAAAGAAGATAAAAAAACAGTAAGAGTTAAAGAAAGAAATCTGCAAAACATACTACAAAGAATCAAACGTGATCAGAGCAGAATTTTTGGTTTTCCATGTTTCATTGGGTTACAAAGTATCAAATATCTACTATGGTTGTCTTTTTCCTCTTTATCAATATTCAGATAAATTCTTTAATTAGAACACGTCAATATACAACAACAGCAAGACCCATCACCACAGCAGAACATAACAGTATCTAGTATGGTTTGATCTAGGGAAGATCAAATTTTATTCTTTTAGGAGCTGGGAGCTAAGCTAAATGGAAAAAATAGGATTCAGCGAACCAACCCTAAGTAGTTGAGAGAAAAAACTATATTGAGTTGAGTTGAGATGAGTTAGGAGCAGGGCTGTGTATTGAATCGATACATACATCCAGCAAAGTTAAGTGATAATAGCGGAGAAGTTAATAATTAATCTTATCCTTCAAGAGAGACATAATTATGTCAAAGAAACTTTACCTACGAGAAGACAACAACTCAGTAATACCTCTATTAACGCCTATAGAAGGGAATTAATTGAATTATATTTGTGACTAGATAAGCAGAATTGACATGTGTTCACCAGGTAATAAGCTGGGGGCTCCGATTACAAAATTTTGTGAGTCTAAAGTAAGGGTGTTCTGGTCATTTGAACAGAACAGTTCTTGAACAAATTATGAGTGAACATGAGTGTCTTGTTCTGTTATGTCATTTGCTTTTTTCTCTTTGTTTCTTCCTTAATATTTATTTTTTCTACCACTTCAATACCTCACCATCTCTCTTATATGAGCCTGATAAGTGCATGAAATTATATAAAGGCCGCTGTTATTACCAAAACAACATTGGATATTACCAAAGAAAGTGCTGCTATGAACAATTGTACTATCTTCTTCCATTATTGCTTTAACAATCAGGAAACCTCAAATACAAATCAAATATCCATCTAAAAGCAGAGGGTTTATACTGAATACAGCTTTTTAACTTAAAAAAACCAGACAATGGAAAAAAGAAAAGGAATCAAAGAACAGAAAACATTGCCAACTGAAAAAAAATAAATAAATAAATAAAAAATCCCCTCCAAGTAAGCAAAAGTTTGGCTACATGGTGTAGGGAGACAAAGAGAATATTATTTGTATCACCTGTGAACCACATTCCGGCTGTGAAGGTAATTTAAACCATTCAAAATCTGCCTTGTATATACAGAGACTTGGGAATCCCACAGCTGATACTTTTGATAGAGGTTTGCAAGCGAACCTTTGGTTACTAGCTCAAGGAAGATATAGAGTTTGCTATCATCCTGCAAAGACCATTTTGCATTCAGAAACAAAAAGAAAACAAGAACCTCAGTCCTCATAAATCATAATTGAAAGAGAAAACGAGAACACAACAAACAAAGACCAAAAGTAAAATACAGAAGATATTTCTTTTTTATTTTTTCATCAACAACATAATGCCACCAACAATGGAGCGAAAGTCTTGCTGAAGTTAGGAAGTCCATCAACAGCAGAAATACCTCAATTTTTTTTTTCTTCTTTTTTCTTTTTTTGGCCATAACCTGATGCTTTAAATTTATTTCTTGCTCCACTTTGACATTCAAAGGTCGAACTAATTGGTATAAAGGAAGCTTCAAGAACCAATTAGCAGCTGATATAGCTCATAGGAAAAGATCACCACACAACTTTGGAATCGTCTTAAAAAAGATTTAGAGAAAGTGAAAAGGAGAACAAAAGAGAACCTCCAAACTTAATTCTTCTAAAAAAAAAATGTAGCTACAATTGAAATGCCACATCCAGGGTCATCCAATGGGGCATTTCCTCTGTAGGCTCTTAAATAAAGTGGCAACTGGCCTTTACCAATATAAATTAGAACCTTCTTTATGGAACTACCCACATCAGAAATTTAAGATGAACTCATCTAGAATCAGCATCCAATGATCGGGAAAGGTGACCCAAGTATGAAGCTGAAGCTGCTAACTACAATTCATGTGCTAACTACCAATATTATGCCAAAAATAGATTGATTTTATATCACCTTTCAATTCGAAAAGCAACACACCATTTTTCAACAAGACCATCTTAAAGCATATGGCCAACAAGAAGCATGTTAAACAATAAGTTATCATTAGAAGAAACTATACATAGAAGGAAGGAAGAATACAAAGAAGAATTCACTCGAAAAGTAGAAACCATACCTTGTCTGTACCAAGATATTGAACTATGTTTCCATGTTCAAACTGACTTAAGAGAGAAATCTCCTGAACCAATGAACAAGGGGATCAGAAAAACAGATCACGCAAACAAATAATGAATACAACTGCTTTATATACACCACATTCAATGTGTTTTTCATCAGAAACAGATATATTATTCTCACTTGTTCAAGCTGAAGAATGCTTTGCTTGCCCTGACTTCCTTGATCAAGCAAAGAAACCTCCTTCACAGCAAAAAAGAATCCATCACTGTGGAAAAAAAAAGAATAAACACATGAGGAAGAAGAGGAAAGAAAGAAGGCGCATGCAATGGACAAAGAAAACATAAATAGAGAATAAGAGGAGATCAAGAAGGCGCATGCAATGGACAAAGAAGCATAAATAGAAATAAGAGGAGATCTCCTCCTAAGAGAAGAAGAATTGGAAGATGAAATAATTATAAAAACAAAGATGACAACCATAAGAAGACAAGGAAAAAATCAAACGTAACTTCGCTTTTTGCTAATAATTCTGTCCCTAAGCAGATTCAAGAGTCCAATGAAAAAATCAACCACAAAAAAAAAAAAAAAAAGAAGAAGAAGAAGAAGAAAAATGATCCCTAATTCTCAGCAAAGATGGAGAAGCCACAAGTTGGATGCCTATTGAAAAGCTAACCAATCATATTGGCGAAGGGCTGTCCATAGAGAATGATTGTTGGTTGTGTGATACCTTGTTGTGTGTTGAATTCCTCTTAGCTCTAGGATTGTACGTGGTCGGCACTCAAAGACAATCACTAACTAGATGCAATGGCGAGGAATTAGGGATATAAATAAACCAAGTTGTTCATGAATAATTCGGGCTCGACTCGCCAAGAGCTCGGTTCATGTTAGTTTGTTCCTAAATGAACCAAGCTCAAACAAGATTCCTGAGCTCGTTTATTAAACGAGCCTAATTCAAACAATCTCTGGCTCGGCTCATTATGTTTGTGAACACGTTCATGAACAATATCGTTAATCAGCTTATTTTGGGCATGTAAAAAAGTGAAAATAATTTTATTATTTTATATGACATAAGCTATAGTTGTTAAAGGCGCGTCTAGGCTCCAAAAAAAGCCGTAGGCTCGTCAAGGCTCAGCTAGAGCGCCTTAACCTACTACAAGCCAGGCCCCTTCAATCAAGCTCACATAAAGCCCTTAGGCTCGTGCTTTTTAGTAGGCTCCAGGCTCAAAAAAGGCGCGCCTTGTATTTTTTTAATTATTTATTCATATCATTTTCTTTTTTACTTGATGACTACTAAATTAAAAGGTTCTATATCATATATCGTATTGTTTAACCTTATGAAATATTTGGCAAAGTTCATGAATTTATGATTCACTACTTACATTAACTGTAATTACTGCTTGATTATGAATTTATATAATATTATATGTTTAAATATGCAATATTAAATAAACGTGCCTTACTTCGATCGGGGTCACACCTTATACTGCGCCTTGCGCTTAGCCTCCAGAAGGCCTGTGCCGCCTTAGTGCGTCTTGAGCCTTTAACAACTATAGCCTTAGCCCACAAATCTTGTGCCCATTAAGCACTCAATTATCTTCAGCTTAGAGGTAAAACAACCCAACCGAAGGCATATTATATAATTCATTGCTTAAAAGAAAAACGCGAGTCCATCTACCATTCCAACCCAAGCCTGTATGGCATCTGCTATATGTAACCCTAATCTCTTTTTTTCTTTTTTCATTCATTTTGACAATGAGTGGTGGGGGTTAAGCACTAGCCGCCAGACATGCTCCAAAGTTGCCTTCCTAGCCATACTAGCAATCGAAATTCAGGTTCAACCAATAGAACGGTAAGGTACAAATGTCCAATCCGTACTTCGATCAATCAAACTCCCCTACATTTGAACACTTACATTTCCTGACTCGAAAATAGTTTTATGCATCCAAAAACATAATTTTAATGATTCAAAATATGTAATGTACACCCATGTGAAAGCATGATTATGGACTCTAATTTGATAGCACATAATTTGAGAGTTGAAATATTTTTATGCACATTGTGAAGCTTTTGAAATCTCCAATCTATCCTTAGATAGTGGTAACTTAACTAACTAAACAGACTTTTGAAAAAAATATACAAGAAATCGAAAAATTACATGTTTCATTTTGTATGAAATCTGTCGACAACTATATTTGGTTCTAGTATATCCCTAGAGTCCTAGACTGAACCAAACCAAACCATGTATACCACTGAGGATAAGGAACACATTACATCCCAACTCGGATTTTGAACCCTCCACCTCCTTTCAATTGGTGTGTTTATCACAAACTGTGCAAAATAACTCATAATAACTTCTAGCAAGGAATATCCAATCAAAAGGTAAAAACTGACATAAGCGGCAAACTATTGTTCACTTGCAAAGCAACTCATAAACAAAATACGTAAAAGGTGTACCTATCCAAAAAGGTAATATTCACCTGATTAAAAAAAGAAAAAAAGAAAAAAGAAGATGAGGGTTTAGAGAACTAGGGACATGTTTGGTTCAATTCTTCGTAAACAAATTTCAAGGATGCTGAAAACAGAAAATAATTTTCAGAAAACTTTTAACTAACCTTCAACTTTTTAAACTCAATTTCCTTAAAATAGATTTCAAATAACTACCAATTAAACGAATTCAGTGAAACTGTTCTAAGAAAACTAAGAACTCGCGTATTAACTGAATAAGCTGTAAAAACAGTGAAGTGTTAAGAACACTTACTCAGTGAAACCTTCGTACACTGTTCCGAATGATCCACTTCCCAGAAAGTCTCCCTTCTGCCAAGACTTTATACCCCGCCTAAAGCTTGCACATGGCGAAAGAAGGTACATGGATTGAGATTCCATAGTTGTACTAAAGGAATCATCATCATTCTCATCATTTGATGTATCTTCTGAAAATGACCCTGATAGAACAACAGTATCTCTTAACCGTGCCCCATTCGACATTTCTTTACTAATAATATGCTCGCTTTCTTCAACCAGATTCGAAGAGCTAATGACCCTTGCAGACACGGGTGAAGCCAAATCCTCATCGTCTTGAGGACCAAAAGCCCTGAATATCTCCCAAGTTGAGCTGACGTTATCCACTATTGACCGTGTCATTGCCGGCGGAGGAGCTATCGACCGTGCCATCGCCGGCGGAGGAGCAAGTAGTGGCGGAGGAGTAAGTAGTGGCGGACGAGCACCTTTAATCCCACGTCCACCTTCCCTATTACACGTAACGCTAACCAAATTCATAACCTTAGTTTCATCGCTTTCCATAACCCTATTTTCAATCTTATCTGAAATTAGACCATTATTAAACCGAGAAGACTCATTTTCATGCTTGAGCTCATCACGAAGCTTAACCTTAACTTCAAATACATCTGACACACAATCCACCGGTGATTCTTCGTCCTCCAACTTATCCAACTTATCCAAATTGCGACGATTGTTAAACCTAGACTTCAGAAAGGGATCGGAAGGTGAGCGATCTATGCGAGCCTCCCAAGCCGCAGCAGGAATTGCAAAGTCTTCAATTCCAGAAAGCCCTAAACTGCGGCAAATCCGATCGAACTCGCCATCGTTCCCTTCAACTCGAAAGCTGGTTCGATCGGACAAATCGAGCGACCGAGACCGGTGAGTGGACTCGTCGTCGACCGACGATGACGACGGTGAGTCAGACGCGTCGTAGTCGATGTCCTTGATTGCGTTGCGTCGGTCGAGCCTTGGCTTCTGCCGCCTCTGCTTGACGTTCATCATCCCTCTCTAAAACTCACTGCTTATGTATTATATATGTATAAATGTGTATATATATAATGTGTATTTATATGAGAGAAGAGGGTGCTTCTGAGAGAATCATCGGTGGTGAGGATGGAGCTGCAGCTTATTGAATGAAGTAGCAGGTTGACGGTGTCGATTCAGACAAGGCGGCGGAACTTTCTCTCTCTAACTTTCTCTCTCCGACTATGTTTCTTGATGCTTCAAGTTAATGAAAATTATTGGGGACTAATCTTTGACAGGGCCAAAAAAAAAAAAAAAAAACTGACGCGTGCCACGTGGCAGCTTGGAAGAGAATGGTGACTGGATAGGCGTTACCAAAAGCCAGCTGCCAAACAACCCCTTGGAGCTTTAATTTATTTTTTTTGTGATGATTTGAATGGCAAATTTTTTTTTTTAGGTTTGTTTGTTCATATATATTTTTAAGTAAAATTTATTTTTATTTTTATTTTTATTTTTTCAGTATTGACAAAGTGTTAGGTCGAGGTTGAGGCAAGTTTACGAGACTAACGTTTAAAACGACTTGGTAAAAATTAATGATTAAATTATTTTTGTTAGATTTTAATTTTTTTTTGTAAATATTATATGACAATTAATACAAAAAAATAAAAAATAATTTTTGAAAAATATTTTCAATTCAAATAAACTGAACCTTAATGTAAAATGATACAATAAAATTTTTTGACCGATTGAGAGCCAAATAAACATCAAAAGTCTTGTGTTTCAGTAATATCTTCTCAACTTCTCAAAATAAATTTTAAATTTAAAGAATGAAAATAAATAGATACTTGGAGAGTGTGTTTCTTGCCCACCACAAAATAATAATAATAATAATAATAATAATAATATTATGCGCCATGGAAAGTAAACCGTGGAAGGTGTGTTTCTTAAAAGATATATATACCCAAAAGAGCAAAATACGGTAAATACACCCCCATATTCCCCCTATATTATACCTATATTGCATAATGCCTCATGAATTATTTTTTTGAAACAAGTTGCTCCCTTCAACAAGAGCAAGCAAAATGCTCCTTAAAAATCATCGAAAGCTAATTTCAGACCAACAATATAACACAATTATTAATTTACACTTACTTATTAATTTATTACAATAAATCAAAATATCTGCTATTATGAAATGACCACTTTGCCCCTATTTGTTGCCCCTTTCTTTTCTTTTTCCTGCGTTTTTTTTTTCATCCCTTCATCATTGAAATTTCTGCTATCATCTGGTAAGATCAATTGGAAAGTTCGGTTTCAAATGGTAAATTGATACAATAATGACAATGTGTTGCTTTTAAAGGTTATACTTTGCAAAGAATGGTCTTTTACAACATAAAAAAGTCACAACAGTGAAGTACAATATACTGTGAAACCAAACTTGCAAAAAAAAGAAATGGAGTAAAATTAAAGAAATAAAGAAATTGATGTGGCAAAGAAGGTTATAAAACAGGAGAGTTAAGTATTGGTTTGCCAGATCTGTAACAAAGGATTTCAACGGGACCAGAACCTTCAGCTTCACAGGCGAGGCCATAACTTGCCTTGGAAGCTCGTCAGCGAGCGAGTGGAGAGGTCCGAAAGAGAGTCTATGTCTGTCCCGAGCACTTCTGCAGGAAAGCACGGGAAGAAGATATGGGCAAAGTAGTCATTTGATGATAACAAATATTTTGATTTATTATAATATATTAATAAATAAGGGTAAATTAGTAATAGCACTCTTCTATTGGTTGACTTTTGATAGTTAAAGGAGGCAACTAACTTCAAAAAAAAAATAATTGAGAAGGGCATTATACAACATAGGTATCATATAAGGGGTATTTTGCTCTTTTGCCTACATTTAATGAGATTTAACAATTTTATGCTTTTTCTTTTTATTTTTATTTTTTAAGACCAACTTTTTTTTTTTGTTTTTTTGTCTTTCCATTCTTTTCTTCCAGCTATTTCAATTCAAACGCACTCAAAATTGGACAATCTGCTAATATTTAATATTGTTGATGAACCTTCTTCCATCCTTCTTTTCCTTTCTGGTGATTGTCAACTTTACAATATTTTGATACTCTCGTCTTCTTCACTGAAACATATACTATAGATCATTGACCTTCAAATTTTTTGCAGTCTCTGTCTTCTATTTGAAAATTGTATTTTCTTCACAAATTGGTTCCCATTATTTTTGGACCTTTTCTTCATCACTGTCATCCTATATTATTCATGATCCTTCAGCTTTTTTTTTCTGAAGGCTTCAGTCTATATTTTATTTTAGAGGAAGATTTCATTTAAAGTCCACGAGGTTGGTCAATCCTTTAAAGTTTTATGAGTAATAAATTTCATTTAATTCTAACAAATATTAATTACACAATTAAGACATGTGGGCTAAGTGAGGTAAAGGTATCTCATATTTTTTTGGGGGGGGTCAAATTTTATTGGTTACACAAATAACTTTTTAATTTTAATGAAAAAAGGGTCGCTCTTAAATATGATATTCAAGCAACAAATAAAAGAAGCATGGAAAATATAGCAACTAAAAAAACAAATATTATATTAATATTTGTTTATTTATATTGACTATAAGAAGAGAGGATCAAACCCAAAACCTTTGACCTTTTAACTTCCAATTAGAAAAGCAAAAGAGATGCCATTATATTTAATAATAAATGGTTAATTAGAAAGATGTTTAAACATAGAAAGCAAATATAAAGATAATGGACCATAGATATTCATAATGGAATATTTGAATACTAAAAATGATATTCTATATTTACTAAAAGAGCCATAGAGTTGGTCAAAAGAAGTGAGTGTGAAAAAAAAAATAAAAAAACAGACGATAATATCATGTGAATTTTATATAATTTATTTATTGGACGAGCTTTCATGTAGTTAGTCTAATTTTTCAATATATCATTACTCATGTGAATATATATGTATTAATGGAATTGTATATCAAAATAAACTTTGTCCCTAATATATATGGCTTTGATGGAGGCTATTAAAACCGTGGAGATTCATTGTCTATGAAAGAAACCGATACAGCTTTGATACTCGCATTGGTTCAGATCGCGCATAAAGGAGGATTTGAATCCGTGCGCGTGTTTGCGCAGGGTTGCGGGTAACGTTATCATAGGTTTATTAATTTGACTTGACTCTAACTTATTTATAACGACAAATACTATGCGCCTTAACGGTCTATATATCAAAACTATATCATTTTGATACACGTGGCCGATATTGATATTAGTATGTCACTAATGTACGCATTTAATTACAATACATTAATTTTAAGGGTTAATTTCACTCACCAGTCTTTAAATTTGGCCATTTTTCACTCTCTAATATCTTTCGAAAATAACTGTCATTTAAATTCATTTTTAATTTTTTCATTAAAACCTCCGTTAAAAGTATTTAAAAAGACAATTTTGTCCCTAATTTTTTAATCCCATTTATTCCAAAATATCAAGTTGCTTAAATGACAATTCTACCCTTACACCCGCCTTACATCAGCGCTCCATCCTGCCCCGTCGTGGCCCACCTCTATTCGTCTTCTTCTACATCACTTCAGCCCGTCCCACACATTTCGTCCTCTCTTCATCTCACCATTCACCATTTACCATAGATACAAAAACGATTCGTTTTGATTGAAGGATTTAGAGAGATTTGAAAAGAAAATAAAGAGAAGGATAGTGATTAATGTGTTTGGAAAGAAAGGATTTGGAGAGATTTGGAAGGATAACAATCCCTCCAAATCTCTTATTTGAAATCCCTTCAAAATTGACAAGATTTGAAGAGAAATTGAGCAAATTACAAAAATAACCTTGAGAGAAAGGGCAAGCTTGGTTGAGAGACAAGGTAAAATGGTAAATTATTCATTCGTTTATTTTCTTTTCTATCCATTCAAACAAGAATATTACTTATTCCTTTCTTTTCTTTCCATCCAAATATGAATATTATTATATCTATCATTTCTTTTATATTATTCTATTTTCTTTTCTCATGTAATCCTTTCTTTCTTTTTGTCTCAGTGTGTATCCAAAGGAAGCCTTTCTTTCAGTTCGCTAGATTTAGAATTTTCTGCAAATGCTTCGGCTGCTGGTTCGGTGTCGACCGGATGAATGAGACCCATTTTTTTCTGCAGAGGCTCCGGCGACTCTCTCTAACTCCTTCACCACACCAGGGTCCAGACCCATTACTCTCTCATCCTCCTTCACCACATAGAGTGATGGATCTTATCACTGGTTCGGTGTCGGCTGGATCAGTGGTCGAGTTTTCGAAATGGGTTTTTGAGAATTTGCTCTTCTTGTGTTTGATAAAAGGAGCAGAAATGGGCACCAGAAAGTTTGGAGTGGAAACAAAGCAGAACCGAAGAAGAGCTTTGAGCGTGATTAATCAGAGCTTAGTGGCAGCTCCTTCATATCCATGTGTCGTTAACAAGAGAGTTTTGTCAGAGTAATTCTCAGTACTATAAGCTCAAGATTTATCTAGAGAATATGGATATATTTGATAATAACTAACATTATTATTTTTGGTTTCCAGAAAAAAATGTAATCTGTGAGAAGAACCCTCCCAATCCAGTCCATCGACCAATTACAAGGTTCTAAGATGACCATTTTGCTTTTGATTTTTCATTCCGTTTTCTTTATCTGGAAAGCTGATTTTTTGAATCTGAAAGTCATCTTCAATTTGTTCTAATTTGGTTCTACTTTGATTCTTATTCACAGAGTTCTAGATGTTTTTGGCTTGCATGACCACACGATTAGACCCAATCAAATATGGGTTCTTGATGAAACCATTCATATTTGTCTCTATGTATGTGCGGGTATATATATATATATAATTTGTAAATTTACAGGGTATTTTAGCCTTTTAATTTAATTTTTTTTAAAAGCTAAAGAGTTAGTTTGGGAAATAATTATTTTTAAAAGATATTTGAGGATAATATTTGACCAAATTTTAAAAAATGTAAGTAAAATTAATTTTATTTTTAAATAACGTGTACGACACACCTAATATATCCCGATCCATGTAAGTGGCGTGGTGGGTTAAGAGTAAACAACACCAGCAAGTTCCATTTGACTTGACAAATTTGTTTGTTTGTATCTGCAATTCCACATTTTACAGCAATCAATCAATTCCTTCCCATAGGTCACACCAATCTTTTCTCACTCTAGGACGGCAATTCGAATACGCACAAATAAAAGAAATACAAAATTTGTGTTGTATAATTTGTGTTGTGTCAGATTAAATATGAGTGGAAATACAAAATTTGTGTTGTATAATTTGTGTTGTGTCAGATTAAATATGAGTGGAAGACTGCAGTGTTGAAGAGAAAAACATATTTTTCTTTTGGTTTTCTCCATTATCCTAACAACCAAATGGAGCCTACCAGACATAGTTGTTTTTTTGCGTTCGAGTATTATAGTCAAACGGTTTAAGCCACCAACAAATAAACAATCACATTTTTATGCTTTAAAGGTGTTTATAGCGCTAACAGAGACGGATATCAAAGTCTAACAGCAATATGGGCACTTCTCGTCCAGAAGAGTTTCAATCCGAAAAGCAACACAAAGGAAAGACACCACAAAGCACAGGAAGGTGTGGGAGGGAGGAGAGAAATTTTTTTTTAAAGGGGTAAAGTGAAAATTTTATAAGAATATAATTAAAAATAATAATTTAGTGGTATATAATAATAAAAAATATTAAAAATTCAGTAGGGGCAAGTTGGCTCCGTTTCTAATCGCTATCCGCTATGTGGGTTAGTGCTACATTTAAGTTTGAGAAGGAAATAAAAATTAAACCCATATCTCCATTTTTAGTATTTGTTTGGTTGATGAAAAAAAAAAAAAAAAAAAAAAAATTATAAGAACTCATAATAGTATTTTGGTCTCCACTAAATACAATTAGTACATAGATTATGGGAGTGGAGTTCTTTCTTTCTTTTTCTTTTTCTTTTTTTTTCTTTTTTTTTCTTATTTTATTTTTACGACGATAGAAACAAAAACTGACATTCCAAAGTGTTCAAAATTTTGTTTTTCAAGCGAATTTTCTATTTTCCTCTGTCAATCCTACCCTAACTACATGCAAACTCCTCAAAAATCATCAAAAATGATTTTATTAAACTTGGTTTAGAAATACCAAATTAATGTCTTAAAATTTAAATCAAAAAATAAAAAATTCGTCCGAACTCTTGAAGCATCTCATAATCCACTACTAGTCACATACATGATATATATATATATATATATATATATATATATATATATATATTCCCTATCTATCCAATATCCTCTTCTCACAGACAAAAAATCTTCAACCTATAAACGGTGCAATCAAAGCTGGTGCATTACTGGTGTTTCTCTAATCTCTATCCACACACTCTCCTCTATATAATATTCCTATTTTTCTGATAATTTTCTCATATACTACATTGCTTGAACCCTAGGTTCCATGAGTTACTTATTTTGTGAATATCAATCTTTTGGCTTCCTTTGATGATTTTCAATATTTCAGGTTTTGATTATATCTCTGTTTCTTGTTATGGGTTTGAATTTATCTTCAAGAAAGTGTTCTGTTTCTCTAATCTTTGAACATGGCATACATTTGTTCTGTTTTGTCTTAATTGAAGTTGTTGCTGAAACGAGGGCCTTCTAAGATTGTTCTTATTGCATGTGGAGGCTACAAGTTGTTGAACTTTTTTTTGGCTCACCCAACCTCAATTATTGTGTCCAGAAGAATTTAGCTTGATTACTTTGTTGGAACCAAAATCAGTTTGGTTGAGTTTTAGTTGTCAGAAAAACATGTTTTCAGATAACTAAAACAATTTTTTGTTTTTTGTTTTTTAAGAACTGATTATTAAACAATCTTAAGTTTCAATCCCGGAGACAATGAAATTATCAATCGGGAAATTAGTCAAATAATAGGGTCTACATGTCGAATTTGAACAGGGTTGACACTGTCAATGCATCTCCATTGGGGAACAGGGTCTACATGCCCATGTGATGTTGGGCATATTATGCATAAGTTGGATTGTGTACGTTTAATCATATCGGTCTCTTATCCCTAGATCATATTTATGTTATTTCTTTAGTTTTGGGGTTAGTAGATAACACGATGTAGTATTCCTATGGGTGGCTCGAGCTAGCTGGTCTGATTTATTTGTGAAATTATTACATAATTTCGGATTATTACAATTCGACAAGTAAACAGAAAAAAGAATTACAACATTTCTTTACATATCGAGTTGTGAACTATGTAATGTCATATCATATAATAATTTCTCAATCTATCGTCATATCTCGTGTCTGCCTTTCGCCATACTTGTTGGACTGATGATGCTTACCTTAGGTTAGGGGCTGCATAATTTGTCTGAGGATAACAACTTTTCCCTAATCCTCCTCTATCTCATAATCAAATTTGTTGTTTTGTATCTCTTGAAACTATTGTGCAACTCTGTCTATACTTTTGTTTTTTGTGCAATATATTAAATCAGGCCATTCTCTAGAATTTTCCCAGAAATGCAGCCAAGGTTTTTATTGACATTTAATTTAAGATAAATTACATGATCCTCCTCTATGATTTGTCATAATTACAGTCACCTTCCCAATGGTTTGTAAAATTACTCAATTTTTCTTAAAAATGAAACTAACCTCCACATACCTCCCTTCTGTTATGGTTAATGCAAGTCAATGACAGATTTTCTTAACGTCATGTACTAAATAAATTAAAATTCTCATATTACTCTTCGTCCATCTCATCTCTCTCACATATAAATGGGTACTACAATCATTTACCGTAATAATTTTAGGGCATTTTAATAAATTAGACAAATCTGTTAGTGGTCCGTCACTAAGTAGGGAGGTTTATATAGCCTATAAATTAATTTTATTTTTAGAAAATCTCCGAATAATTTTTCAAACCACAAGAAAAGTCAATGTAATTATGACAAACCATATATATCCTTCCTCTTTCCTTTTTGTTTTGTTTGTTCACACGTACCAAAGCACTGCAATAGAAGAGAGGGAACCTCTTGACACAAATCTTTTTCCTTGTAGAACTTTGTGGGCCTTTAAGACCTGTCCATTGGCTTTATACTAAGTAATTATACGTAATTAATTTCACATTAGGACTTCTAGAGGCACCTAAAATGAGTCCTGCCCTATTTCCTTTGGTTAACTTATTCAAAAGCATGCCTATGAGATCAATCAATAAAACTTGCCCATTATTCTTCTCAAAGTAATAAACTCATGAATGTTTGTCCCTGAATTTTTTTCTTAAATTGTCAATCCTCAATAAAAATCGATTAACATAACGTTCAGCGATAGAAAAAAAACACTCGGAAGAGATAATAGTCATTCTTAAAAGTTGACAAACGTTCTTGTTGGACTTTATGTTGAAATTGTGACTCTTTCTTCATATAGAATAGGCCAACTTAAAATCTTCTTTTGAAGCACAAATAACTCTATACTATAGCTAATAAAAATAAGCAAAACTGTAGGAAACCTCCCCTGAAATATCCAAATTTATTGAAAAACACCTCTGAACTATTTTTTAGTGCCAAATAATCCCTTCAACTTTTCAAAAGCTGCAAAATTACACCCCTAAAGTAGAACGCCATCCAATTTCGCCAATTTTCATTGTGATTTTACAATTTGGCCCTTAACTTGAACTTTTAACGCTTAAAAGTGAGAGACAATTATATTGCGCATATAATAAATATATGTGTATGTGTATATATATAGAGAGAGAGAGAGTAATAGTATAAGAAAAATTAAGACAAAGTTTTTAGAGAGAGAGAGAGAATGAATAGAGAGAAAATGAAGAAAGGAGAATGAGGAACTTTTCATTATCTTGCCCTTAATCAGTACATACACATGCCTTTTATAGGGCTAGAAACAAGCTTCCACTGTACGCCACAACATATGTCTTCCTTTGTAAGCCAAAAGATGATCTCATTGATGACATATCATATTGGGGACCCCACACCCATATATATAACATTCCCCCTTAGGGTCCATAATACTACACTAAGAATATGTTTCGTTAAAACCTTGCTAAGGAAAATCCAGTGGGACAAAACCCTAGCGAAGGAAAAAGAGTACAGTATTCTTGTGTATCTGAAAATAGTATTGCATAGATTAAAACTGCCTCATTAAAATCTTGCCAAGAAAACCCAGTGGGACAAAATCTGGACGAAGGAAAAATAGTACAGCGTGCCAATACCTCTTTGATCAATAGTTCCCCCTCATTAGATCAACCCTGAAAATCCTTTAGTTGACGCATTCCAATGTTGTGCACCAACTCCTTGAATGCTATAGTTAGAAGCGTTTTAGTGAATAGATCTGCTAGATTTTCATACAAACGTATCTTCTGAATATCAATATCACCATTTTTCTAGAGTTCATGTGCATAAAAGAATTTTGGTGAGATGTGCTTGGTCCTGTCACTTTTAATATACCCTTCTTTCATTTGTGCAATGCATGCCGCATTATCTTCATATAATACTATTGGGCTATCTTTTATTGATGAGAGACCACATGTTGTTCGAATATGTTGGATCATTGACCTCAACCAAAAGCATTCCCTGCTAGCCTCATGAATTACGAGTATCTCAGAATGATTTGAAGAAGTTGCAATCATTGTCTGTTTCATAGATCGCCATAATATAGCAGTGCCGCCACAGGTAAATACATATCCTGTTTGTGAATAGGCTTTATGTGGATCAGAGAAATAGCCGGTATCTGCATATCTAACTAACTAAGAATTTGACGCCTTTAAATAAAACAATCTCATATCAGTTGTGCCACGAAGATATCGCAATATGTGTTTGATTCCATTTCAATGTCTGCGGGTTGGAGCAGAACTGTACCTTGCTAA